GTTCCTATCTTTCTCTTCCAATGCTTGGTGAGCTACCTGGACAGCTGTCAGGTAATTGCCTGTTATATACATATCTTCTATATAGTTATGTATATAAATTTGTACATTGTGTGTGCGTGTATGTCATAATTTCCCCTTCCCTCTCTCTCGCCCCCCCCCCCCCCCCCCAGATTCTTTCACCCAGCCTACTAGGAAGACATGAATAAGCTGTTTGGTGCTGAGTCCCCTGCTAGGTCAAACCAGAACATCTACAATGAGTTATGTTATTAATGTAATTTAAAGCGACTTTGTGTAAATTCACTGTGTATTAGGTTTATTGTGAAGAGAACACCATTTCTTGACATATAAAGTTTTATTTCTTGTATCTGTTCCATATTTTCTCTTCACTTGAAGAGTTACACAACTGAGCTGAAATAAGCTGGATAGAACTGCTATAGTGTTCTACAGCAAACTTGAGACATTGACAGATGGTGACAAAAATGATTTGATTTAGGTCAACTTGTGATGTGATTTGAAATATTAAGCCATAAAAAATTACTTTGTTTCTTTGTCAAAGTGCAAACACATACTTCCTGCACAGCAATATCTGGGGGGAATGTATTTTTTTTCTTTTTTTTCCTATGACACTGAAATTCTTACCTAGTGTAAGTTCCTGTGAGATAGTAGAATTAGTCATATCTAAATCATTCCGGATTGCTATAAACCAATCAGACAGTCGTACCACTGGAAGCTTAAATAGTATAAGTTTAAACAGTTTGTTCTTCATGATCTATTTTCTTGTACTTGGTGCCTAGATCAATTGCTTAAACCTTCCTTATCATAGCATTGGGCTACAGACTAATTCTCATTCATGTTCATAGTGGATAGAAAACTTTGTGGATAACATTAAAACACTGAAAGTCTTCCTTCACTCTGTATACTGTTCTCTAAACAAAACATCCATTTCTTTTAATCTTATTACATAGTTCAAGATTTCAATATTTGCAATAAATTTCATTGCATAACTTTATAGTAACTCCAATGGCATTTATGTGATATTCTGAAATAGAGCAAAATATTCTAGCCATCTAACACTTTGGTACCAAGTAAAATGGAAACATCATATAACATATATTACAGTATAGTGACATTCCTGTTTTTTTTTATTATTTTTTTTTTTTTAATTCTTGCTTTAATAGTAAACATATAGTATTTGCTTGCATTCAGTTTGTGATTCACAGTAACTCAATAACTCAAATCCTTTTCTCAGGAACTACTACTATTTGGAAGCACATTCTCAGACAGTTTTTTTGCATTTGATGAATTTTTCCAAAGATAGAGCTGTGCAGATCTATATTATTGTAATTCTTTGTTTTATATTTTAAATATTTCTCCAATTTTCCAGGATAGTTTGAACAGTTCTCTCAATAGAGCTGTTGCAATTCTTACAACTGCTGGGCACTTCAATGAGCATATTAGTCTTTGCTGAAACAAAAAACTTTACCATAACCAGAGTAGAACAATGAAAACATTCAATGAACATATCCTTCTGGCAGGACTTCTTACAGTTAATTATTATTCTTAGTACAGTACACCAACATTGTATTCATCTTAGAACATTGCTCTACAGAAATCCTGTCTTTCCCAGCTTACCTGAAAACCTCTCAGACAAAAAAAAGAAGGCTTAAGAAGGAAGCAGAATGTAACTTATTAATTACTATGGGATTTTATTGTGTATGTTCAACTATCAAATTTAACTTACTAATTGCAATATAAAAATAAGATTAGTTCACATTAGTGGGGAAAGTGGTTGGAAAACCATAAGACTTTTTTCTAGTTTTATACTGATTTGAAAGGGGAGAGACAGAAATGACTTAACAACTAGATATTCTCATTAAGAGATTCCAGAATGCATTTCATAGTATAAAGAAAAAAACTTTTAAGAAAACAGAATATAGAAAAGTGCTCCAATTTACCAGATAGGTTACCAGAATTTTATAATCAAATTTTAATGTTATATGACTTAGAATACAAACAAAAATAAATAGTAGAATAAGACTTAAATTGCTTTAAAAAAAAAAAAACAAAAACAAAAACAGAATGATCTCACCTAGTTTTCCATGACTATTTCTTCATGTAGAAGTAAACAAGGTGACATTAAGTTTAGAAGCAGGGGAAAAAAAAAAACAAAAACTGCAAGCTGAAGGACATAAGGCAGCTCTGGAAAAAGAATGGACAATTTTTGTCTTCTTTTTCAATACTGAAGGCAGATTAGGTGCCTACCTCAGTGCACTGATGTTAGATAACTGAGATCACTCAGTCACAACAAAGCATATATGGGGGACACACTGTGGGTTTTCCAAGATAGTGCTAATATCAAAAAACCTTCTAATCCTTTCAGTTCATATGTCTCAAAAACCTCACAATATCTACTGTGTGACTTTGTTATATATATTTAATCTTTGTCAGAGGGACTCCTTCCCTCATTTAAAAAGAGGAATTATCTTTGAATTCATTTACTGTAATTATGAAATTGTATGAAGAACAATTACTAGAATAAGCTTCACAAGCACTGAAAGTTTAGAATGCAAAGATAAACTTACAAGAATTGTGTAATTGAGAAAGTAAAATTTCACATTGGAAATTAGTTTTGAGTGACTCGGAAATGCATTTCTTATATTATGGTTTATATTGAAAAGATATGGATTTGAAGAATGTTTTCAGTGAATGAGAAATTAGTTGGATTATCTCAAAGGATCATGGTCAAAGGCGGAGGCCAGTGGTGAGTGGTGCCACCAAGAGGTCCATCTTGGGATGTATTCATCATCTTCATCAATGACCTAAATAGTGGGATCCGAGTGCACCCTCAGCAAGTTTGCTGATCATATTAAGCTGAATGGTGGAGTTGATACAACACAAGAAAGGGATGCCATCCAAGAGACAGACTCGGTAAGTGGGCCCACAGAAGCTAGTGAGGTTCAGCAAGGCCAAGCGGCACATTTGAATTGGAGCAATCCCAGACATGCCTACAGAATGGAAGAAGAATTCACTGGGAGCAGCCCTGCAGAGAAGGACTTGGGGGTTCTGATGGATAAAGAGCTTGACGCAAGCCAACAGTGTGTGCTTGCAGTCCACAAAGCCTACTGTCTCCCGAGCTGCATCAATAAAGGGGTGGCCAGCAAGGTGAGGGAAATGTTTGCCTCCTGCTCTGCCCTTGAGTGGCTCCAGGTACTGTGCTCAGGTCTGCAGCCCCCAGCACAGGAAAGACATAGAGCTGTAGATTATCAGAGAGGGCTGGATCATCTCTCCTATGAGGAATTGTTGAGAGATCTGGGCAGGTTCAGTTTGAAGAACAGAAGTCTCTGGCAAGACTCCAGTGAATGGAGTTCACAAATGTGAGGAAGACTGAGTTTTCACATGACTTGATAGTGGTGGGACAAGGAAGAATTGTTTTAAACTAAAAGAGGGAAGATTTAGGTTAGATATTAGGCAGATTTTTTTTTCATTTTTCAGACAGAGGTAAGACACTTGAACAGGTTACCCCATTCCTAGAGGCATTCTAGGTGATGCTGGATCAGGTCCTGGGCAGCCTGACCTAGTGGTTGGCAATCCTGCCCACAGCAGGGGGGTTAGAACCAGATGGTTCTAACCATTCTATGATTTTGTCTTTTAAAAATGTATTCTATGGAACAGAATTAGCATCCTACTTGTGTCACTTCGAAACTGAATCCTCTTCAGAAACAATAAAAAAAAGTTTTAAATTAACATTTCTTTCTTATTTCTGCAAGAAATATATTCCAAAAAGCTCTTTGTAAAATTAGTCAAGGAAACCAACCAGCAAAATGAGGTGCCTAAGGATTTTGGAAGAAATACAAGTTCTGTGCTTTGCCAGAAAGGACGCGTGTAATTGGCCTGAGCATACACAGCTACTAGAGAGGAGCTCCCTATGAAGATCTGCAGAACCACCTCTTTCTTACTCCATATGCAAACATGCAAAATCCTCTGAAGTGCCAAAGCCTGTTTCCAGTGCCAAACAGCCCTCCAGCTGACACTGGCAGATTGATAGCACCTCTTTTCATTTTGTTCCTGCAATAGTCTCTACTCTTTACTAATCTGTCCGCCAGTGCTGTGAAACAGAGACTTTTTGGTTCTATAACTGTATACTTTGCAGCATTGAGGAATCTTGGTCTTGAATGTGGCTCCAAAGAGTCACTGTAGTAGAAATAATCATACAGAAGAAAAATAGAACAGGATGATCTTAGAGCTTTATCTTTGCCTAGGGCCACAAAGACAAACTAGGAAGAACTATTCATTATGACTGCTGAGTTATAAATTGCCAAGTCTTTTGCAGAAGGTTGATAATCATGATAATTCTCATTTTACATAGGGCATAGACCAGAAAGGTGTGCTGTGATTTGGCTAATTTGGTTTCTTCTACAATAGTAATAAACTACATGTGAGGAAAACAAAACACCTTCTACTGCACTTTTGAAGACAGTAATCTACTTATTTCATTACTACCTTAAGTTTCACTCCTGACACATAAAAAAATACATCAGTAACCAAGTCTTATCAGTAGTTTCCTGAATTCTGAGGAATTTGAGAAACTTCCCCTACAAGGTTTTAAAAGATTAAAAGATTAAATTATTAAATTAAAAGATTTTCTTGATAAATATGAAGAAGATGACTCTCAAAATTCGGAGTAAATCTTTCAACTTAAGAAAACATTAGTTTCATTTTAAAATACATTAGAGATTAGTTTACAGAAATATCTTTGAAACTACATTAATTCCAGTATACTTTTTACGTAACAGCACAGTACAGAGCAGATGCACCACTCATTACTTTAAGTCATTCGCATTCTGTACATGTAAAAGCAAATAACCCACTTCATAAGATGAGGAAAAATCTCAGTTGATAACTGTATAATCAATGAATATACAGATGCTATAATTAAGAAATATACAAGAGAGTTTGGCTAAGCAGGTTATTACACCAAAACGAGGAGATAGAAGGCTTACCCTTATCCTGGGCTTGCTGGAAAGCTCCAAAAAGAAGGAACTCCAGAAAGAGATCCTCTCCCACTGGTAGTCAGCTCTTAAATGGGGTCTAGGAGAGGTGGAGCCAAGCTCCACCCCTTCCAGCAGCACAGGTGAATTACCTTCACCTGTGCTCCCAGGGCTGATTCATTGCTCGCCTCAGGTGATCAATCAGAGATTCAGGCCATGATTCAGCAGTTCCCATACAATAACCAAAGGAAAATGGAAAATAACTGAAGTCAAAGCTGAAGGGAAAATAAGAAATCCTGAATTGAACTAACAAAACAAACCAAACAATAACAACAACAAAACAAAACAACCACACCTACAGTTTTCCAGCTCAAGCAAGATTTATCAGCTGCCAAAATCTAACACTGGGCTGGAAAAAATCTACGGATGAGGTTTTCTTTCTTTCCCTTTTTTTTTTTTTTTTTTTTTTTTTTTTTAATCTTTCTTCAGTAAGAATAATAAAACACAGAATCAAAGAACAGCCCAAGCTGGGAAGGACTGAGCATGAGGATCTCTGAGTCCACCCCTTGGCTCTCCTGAGGACCACCCAAAAATCAGATCATATGCCTGAGAGCATTTTTCAAATGCTCCTTAACTTCAGCAGGCTGGTATCATGACCACAGCCCTGAGAAGTCTGTTCATTGCCTGACCACCCCCTCTTGAAGAACCTTTTCCTGATATCCAGACTCACCCTTCCCACTGCAGCTCTATGCCATTCCCTTGCACTCTGTCTCTTACCAGAGAGGACAGCCCAGTGCTGTCTCTCCTCTCCCTCTGAGAGCTTCAGCCTCCATGTGGCATCCCCTCAGTTCCTCTGCTCTGGGCTGAACAAACCCCTGCTGCTCATACACCTTTTCCTCTAGACCCTTCATCATCCTTGTAGCCCTAAATAAACAAATGAAAGCTCTTTGTGGGTCAACCTATTCTAAGGAAAAGTGAAAGAACAATCAACCAAATACATCTTTTTTTTCCATTAAAAGACATTTTGGTGCAGTGTAGGATACCTATGGCTTCCCATATCTGTTTCAGTGATAAACTGGTTGAAGAGTTTAACATGAGCCACTTCATTATATCGCTATCTTTTTATAAGAATGATTTGGTTATAATTAATATAAGAAAATGTTACCCAAAAGTTAATTTAAGGACTGGAATATAGAATGCTCATGGTTCCTATTCATTTACTCTTAAAGTTGAAATTCCTGCAATATTGAACTTATGAAACGTGTTCTTAAAGACTCCAATCCATACTAAAATTGAAATAATCAATTCCCATATTTGGCACAAAATCTGGAACACCAGCCAAGTGTAAGAGCTTTTCTGAAACTGAGCTTGATTTCAATCATATGTGAGTGAACAATGTTATAAGATGCTCTTAGTTCAAGACTGTTCCCAGTTCATAAGAAAAACATTTGCAATTTTATGAAGATATCTCATTATTATCTCTTCCAGAGCCTCATCAGCTCTAGAGAACAAATCTGTCTCAGCCAAACTGGTACTAAATGGAAGATGTTCATTTAGTCTAACTTAATCTTTTTTCCTCCCAACATCAGGCATAAGGACTTCTGTTTCCATGGTTACAAAGATATTTCCTTTGAACTTTTTCCAGGAAACTTTTATCTCTTCCACATGCACTGACACATTACCTTACGAAGAATGTATACATTTCTGAAACCCTTTCTCCTTCACCACCAACTCCTTACCGGACATAACAGAAGAAATTTAATCCATTGTTAGAATCAAGTTTGACTTGCTAATTTAGGAATTTTAATATTTAGTGATGTATTACTATAAATTGACTGCAGAGTACTACAAGTGATAATTTAAAGCACTTTTTTTCCCCCCTGAGGTTGCTATTCAGCAAAGCAAATTCCTTATTATTAGGTATTTTTATTCAGTATAGTTGAATGCTTTAAATAAAGAAAGTGTCATTCTGAAAATAGAATATGGTGTTTTTGTTTTTCTAAATTGGAATGAATATCTATATATAGAACTGGGGAAAGATAGTTTTTGTTTTTGTTTTTTTTTTTTAAATAAAGATAAAAAATTCTGGCAAGCTGACTTGCTAGTTCCCACCCCTGACCTCCCCCTTGAAAATGTTTATGACTATTATTTTTTTTTCTCTTTTGTTTGTTCTAATTATTACTGCATTAGTCTTCAGGATGGAATAATTTTCAGTATTTCTCCATAATCATCCCCTTTCAATTCACAAAAGCAGCTTTTCATTAAACAAAAAATATCAACATCTACTCTAAACTGATGTTGCCAATAAAAATAAACAAATGAATACTGAGGTACTTTTTTGCTTAAAAGATTTTTTTAAAAAGATATGGAAAGATATACAATCAAGTCCATGGTTCAAATCAGTGCTCCTTAAAGTGTAGTTCTTTAAACATAAATGATTCCTAAGGCACTAAGAAGTGAGCCGCTCTTGTAGTACATGATGCTCAGATACCTTCCTCTTAATCCGAGCTATAATGCTCCACATGCTGCTTGACATACAACTGTTTTTATTACTGCCTGAGTAGTTAACTAAAATGGCTGGAAACTGTCAATACTGGGAACTCTTCAGCACCAGATACCTCCAGTGGTATGAAAGTCATGCCAAAGTGGTGCCAATTGGGCTAACATCTGGTTTGTAAAGAGGGGGAGGCAACAAAGAGCCTTCTCTTAGCAATAAGAGTTGCCACTTCATTTGAAGAGAACAGAGCTTAGCCAGTAGCGTGCCTCTCCCTCACACAGCAAAAGGACAGAAGTTGCTTTAATTACTCTCACCATAACTCTACAGAAGTCCATTTTGTTTGAGAAACTAACATTTGAACAAAATTGAATACCAAAATAAGTTCTCACAAAAGCAACAAAAGTTATTTCAAATGTTGTTTTCACTTGTGTGGGAAAACACAAACATATTCAACAGATAAATCTAGTGTATAAATCATTCCATTCAAGGATTATAAGATGACACAAAAGTCTGTGCAGAAGAGAACAGAGTTCCCATATGCTAATGTACAAAATTCTCACTACCCCACCTTTAAATGAGAAATCTCATTTATGTATGTTTTTGTAAAACTATACTAAATGATAGGTTTTCTGTCTGAAGTTGTTTCAGGACTGTATTACACCTCGTGCTACCATAAAAGAGTGTTAGCAATCAATAATCTGTTAGTAGAGCAATTACTCTTCTATATGCAGTTAAAATATCGTTGATGCTTTTTATTTGCAATTGTCTATAAATAGTTGCCTAAATATTGGATGGACAACAAAGCAGACCAATCATTTACTCAGTGAATGTGGGTGTTCTTAAACACGTCATTAACAGCTCAAGAAAGACGTATATGATAGTATGTCTCTTTCTGATGGGAAAATTAATTACAGGAAGGGAGGGTTTGCTGTTGTTTAAAGTTTATTTATTTATTCTTTTTTCTTGTTTGTTTACCTCTTTGAAAAAATAATAAAGCAATCACAATACAGACTTATTTAAAGATTTTTCTGAATTCACTCACTGCCTGATATCCCAAAATCTTACAACCATTGTTAACCATAGAGAGAATGTAAATCATAGGGACAGAGATTCAAGGTCATTCTCAATTCTATTGACTCAAAACTAATGAATAAGCATTTAGTCTAATTGTCTACTGACTCATCTATAACAGCAGCTACACAAACTTTGCTGAAGAAGTCCGTCTATTTCTGTTAGTAATGATCTAGTAAAAGGTTTAGTAGGAGTTTCCCAGCTGTGTGTTAACTATGTACATCCCAGTTAAGTGGGGGAGTTACAAAGCAGAGAATAGATAAGACAAATGAAATCTAGTGTGAGTACAGTGAGAGTGGAATCTTTAATGCTTCTTTATAGTGGTATTTCTTTTGCTTTTGCCCCAGTAGAATTCCAAAGAGGATCATAATTTGGCTTTAAATAGTCATTTAAAGCCAACTAAACCTTAAGACAGATCCTAACATATCTTTTATATCTATTTATTAAAATGAAGGCAATGTTTATCAGAAAGTACCACTTCATTCCCAGATGGAGTAAGAGCTGCTCTCTGCAGTCAGAGACATTCAGCAGGTAAGATGTGGCACTGACACAGCTGCAGGCCCTGGCAATTTCACATGGCTCTGCTCTTCTCTTCCTCCCTCTTCTATCTCAAAATCTAGGGGAAATACTGAATGCTTTCTCACCTGACCTATCTGTTTCTGTGCTCCAGTCACAAGATTGTTGCTGCTTGATGTAGATTTGGCTATTATACTTTCAATAGGGTTTTGAAGTCAAATTAATTCCTGTATGTGAACAAATAGTTGGTTGTTATTATTTTACTAGTTATTTATATATAATTGTATGAAGACAAACGAAGATGAAACAGATGAATTAACTCATACGGGCAAGAGAGAACCATGAAAAATAAATTCATATTGTCTTAGGGTTCTTTCCTTTTTCTAAATATGGAAGCCTAACTAACTCAAACAGCACTGTAAGCAGAGCAGGCGAAGATGACATTAATATTTCAACACTAAGAGCCACTAGGATTATGAAATGTTTTCACTTCAAAATCAACAGTGTTCCACAACTGTTTTGCCTGGAAAAGCACTAGATAAAAATCATCTCTAAGAGCATACATTTCTGAGACACACATCTCTTCCTTTCCTTTTTTATAACCGAGCAAGCATTGGTTTATGACAAATTTGTGCAGCTAAGTTACATAAACAGACTCTGATACTGTTAGATTTGTCCCCAAAGCAAAGTCTGTAATTTTCACTCCTCATTAAAACCACTCCAAATAATTAACATTCTTGTCACAGTTGATTATCTTGGTATAGTTTCCAGCTCCTCCTTCAGGAAACACTTTCACTGTGATTTCACCATGGGAAAAGGGCAGAAGAAAAGTTCTGCTCCTGTACATTTTCAAGTTGTAAATTGGTCCTAAATAGGATCTACCGTAATGGTTGCATTTGAAAAGAATCTTTTTTCCTGCTTTGAAAATTGATGAATTATCTATGATC